AATTAATACTTTAAACGCGTTTTTTTTTAAATGGTATTTTTCAAATTTGCTGACACTATGGCCGGTATTCAGAATCGTTGCTTATTCTTAAGATCGTCTTAAGTCTTTATTCCCTGTACAAGACAAGGACTAGAAATATGGGATAGACAGGGATAGCAAATTCTTAAGACAATCTTAAGAATAAGTAACGACTCTGAATACCGGCCTATAACTCAAACACCAATTATCCGATTGACTTGAAATTTTAAAAGTGTTCTAGACATGCTTTATTGTTGAATGACCTAGGATATTCTTGATTAGATGAAAACTGTAATGTTGGCAACGAAAAAACGACAATTTTTTTAAGGAAAAATTCAAAAATTTCTTAAAAACTCCGTCATTTTGTCAGATTTCAACATTTCTCGCATATCCTAGGTGATACAATGGAGAATACCTTCTAGTTTAGGAGCGTCTTTGTCTTTTATTTCATTTCACGCACCCTAGCGAATTGTATGATGTTAGCAGTTAAGGCACTTCTTTTTGGGCATCTCAGGAGATAGCGCATAACTTGGTCGCCTTTAGCTATTTTTGCTTTTGCGAAAAAATTATTTTAGACAATTAATTTATAGGCGAATACATCCATAAAGTTTAAAAAAATTCCGTAGAATACTTTTCTTGAAAAAGAATTCCCAAAAATGACCTAAATTTTAGGCGGTTACACTGGGAAGGCCCCTTAATCCATTATTCCGTTCACATTTCGCTTCAAACAAATTGTTTTCGACCCAGTTTTAAAAGATCATAATGAACTCAAGATCAATTACTACGTACAAACAGTTCGTTAATCACTTCCTTACCATAATTATTCTTAATGATATTTTTTTAACTTCTTATGCAAATGAAGTGGACATTTATGCAAATTATACATTGGCAATGGATTTGAGAAATATTTTTATTCTTCAGAGTTGTTTTTAATCGTTATTGTAAGAGAGTCAACATATTGTAATTTGTAATAGACCTACGGATTATTTTTGATATCTTAATTGTGCCTCTTGTAATGCGTATAGGTTTGTTACCGAGTTACCTGGCCTCTCTAATCAGGGCGAGAAAATACTTTTTGCGAGCCTCCTACACAATGATCCATTACATTACTCCTTCGAAGACTGTTGCAAATACTTTTTCATGGCGTCCGATATGATCGGACTGAGGAATGGCACTTGCGATGGATACATTTTTATCGGCGACGCGTCTAACGTCTCTTTTGGCCACGTTGGCCGAATGAGTCCTATGGGAATGAAGAAGTTAGTGATGTACGTCCAAGAAGGTATACCCGTCCGCCTGAAGGGAATACATTTTATCAATACTCCGTCGGTGATGGATCTGATAATGAATATGGCGAAACCTTTCATGAAAGGGGAACTTTGGAACATGGTAAGATATTCAGTAAGAATTTAAAAATATTTAGCAGATTGTATAAACATATATTGACGCTGAGATATTCGGTTCTTTTAACGAACATGCTAATAGGCTTCCGAGATGTAACCACTGCAATCGGAATAAATAAATTATTTATGCAATAACTTTTTATAGCATACGTAAGCACTTCGTTTTACATACTCTTTGAAGTGAAGCTATATTGCAGTTGAATAAGGACTAGTTTGCCTATTTCATAAACAGAGAAAAACCTATTGTTAAAAAACATGAAATGCGTTTTAGTCAATTATCAGGTGTTGGAGACTCGTAAATCTGAAACAGATTATTAGCATATGTTCTTTGACATTTTTATTTAGCGTAAGGATGTATAAGAAAAACCATTTCCTGTTATCTATTTCTTGTCAGATCATTCATATATGTATATATGTATATTCACATCGATCGAATGATACAAAACGTTCATCTGCAAGTCAATTGTATACTGATTTTGACTGTTATGAATCACTTTTACTGCTTTAATTGTAGACATGAGAAATTTTTATTCGATACGCATTTATTGAGTAATCAATATAATTTTCTACTGACTGCGTGCAACAATCTTTAGTTTACCGGTGTTTCGCTTAGCTATTACGAATGCATTGACGTGTATCGCTCGTAATTTATGGTTTATACGTATCTTGTTCCCTGTTCATTTACGTAACGAGTAATTACTTTGTGGTAGACTTTACACAAAGAGATTATTTTCCGTTCTATAAGAATGTAGTAGCAATATTTTTTAAAAGCTGAGAAGAAACTGAGGAGAAACTGAGTCTGAAGGTCAAATTCCTTGGATAAAGCCGAATTTTAGCAACAAAATTGATAATCTTATAAGTGGAAAACGAGTACTTCATATTGTTAATAATTCTGTTTTCAGATACATTTGCATTCATCACTAAAGACATTGGAGGAGTTCGTTTCTCCTGATCTTCTTCCAAAAGAGAGTGGTGGAAAAGCAAGATCGATAATGCAGTTCAATGAAGAACAAATGAAAGAAATTGATAGCAAACGAGAGTGGTTTATCGAAGAGGAAAAACTGTCCAAAGTAGATGAATCATTGCGTATCGGAAAAAGTAAGACTGCGAATGATTTGTTTGGCGTGGAGGGCACTTTTAAGAAACTTGAAATTGATTAAGGAGAACCTTGTCTCTTTCGTGCATCGAACAATTCTTTTATACTATATACATATATGTATGTGTGTAACTTCGAAGAAGCTCTGTATTTATTCTTATTTGTAATGACGTTAATAAAAATTTAATTACGTATTTTACTTGTATTCTAAATCAAATTGCGTTCGTCAGCTTAAGGTAGTTCGATAGTATTTGCAAAGCATATACGACCTTAATATAAGTTGAACTAAACAAGAATTAGGGAAAATATAGGGTTTCCGTGAAAATTGTTNTCTTGATACGTTACCCAAATAGCGAGCTACCTTAAGTTTCATTCAGTACGCAGTGTAATGCCAAATTGTGTTTTACATTGAGTATTAGATATGCTATAAATACCCTTGTTCTCATTTGTACATAGATAAAGCAATCGAAAAATTATGTCAGCAATTAAATTTAATTTTCCGATTAATTATACGAACACGGCCTAGTTGGCTTTATTTTAAATTTCATCTACGAAAATTTGTTATCGGATTGAAATCTCTTTGCATTCCTACGTATTTGTTCTAAATGAGATGAATTTTAATAAGAAAACAGTATTTGCTATGCATCCATCTTTCTTAAAAACGCGCGTGTGATCCACTTCACGTAACATGAATTAAAGTCCAATTCCGGTACTCATAAACCAATAATTACATTTAATTGTTGGTGTCTTTTCACAATCTCATGGAGCTCATTTTCGTCCGTCACGCTACGTGTCATTTGTATCCGAAGTACACTACGCTCGTAAATTTTTGCTTCTTTAGAACGTAAGAAAAATAACTTCTCGTAGTATTTCTCGTGTTCAATTTATCTATTCATTTTGAGAAATTATTTTATATTCATATAGAAATTTTTTATAACGATATATTTTACTTGTGTATTTGCAACAAAATTGGCAATGATAAATTATCAGTAAATTCTAATAAACGACCCTTGACGATTCTTTTATGTCAAGTAAGAAATAAAAATTAAAGCACGAGATACAATATAAAATGTATGTAATATCATTGTACTGACTTAAATCGCAAATAATCAATTTTAAGTGAATTAGTTCCATACGATAAAATACGTAATGTACCATGAACAGATCAAACGATTATTACTTATACTATTATTAGCTTAATAGATTCTTAGTTTTTGTTTACCTATTATTTCGCTTAATATTTTCACGTAATTCTCATATCATTGCGTGACGTATAATTTGACACTTTTAAGTCTGGCAACCTCGGCTGTCACGTTATATGTGATTACACATTATTAACTCTTCCCATCGCGTTTTAAGTGTTCGATTGTACTTGCATGTCTGTGAATGCCAGTACTATTCAAACCTCCGACGCAATCTTCACGAAAATTATTTTGCTCTTGGTATCGACGTGTTTTGCAGTCTTTGTACGTTCCGTATCAGTTCTCCTATAAACGAGAATCGTCGAAGTCATAGATTCCGAATCTAATAGTGTGTTTCTTTAACAAAAGAAGAAATTATATAATTTTACATTTGCAAATCAATTGTTAAGAAAATTGTGTTTACTTCTCAGTGAGTTATCGATAATAGATTGATTGACAGTGTGATCATTTGTTCAAACATATAAAATTACAAGTTACATGCTTATTGCTAGTAAGGAAGATTTTTCAAATTTTTAGAGGTAATCGATCATGGCTTTGGTTCAACCAGTAAAATATGAAGACGAGCTGAAGAAGAACTCTGACTTGAAAGACGAGGACGTCCAAATGTTAAAAGATTGGCACAAGAAACAGCCACATCTGCCCCCGATGACCGAGGCTGAATTGGCGTTATTTTTATATAGCAATTATTATCGGATAGAAACCACAAAAACTACTATTGATACATATTACACGGTGAGGACTCACGTCCCAGAATTTTTCGCTAACAGAGACCCTCTCGGAGTGAAGGAGTTGAGGAAATCTTTCCAAACCATGTACGTGTATTATGTAAATTGTTACTGAAGAAAGTTCTTAAATTAGATATAAAATATTAAAGAGCGCGTTAATTGCTTCACTTTTTTGTAGAAAGAATTAATATTATAGTTAAAATAAGAATTAATTTCAGTACCGTTCAAGTTTTGGATAAAACAACGCCGGATGGTTACGCGATTCTTTATGGGAGACTAATTGACGAGGATCCCTCGAATTATGTCTATAACGATGGAATGAAATTCCTGAGCATGGTAATTGATTTATGGCAACGGAAGGAAGGAACGATAGCGGGACACATAATTCTGTTTGACATGAAGAACGTTGTGTTCGGGCACGCTGCTCGATTGAGTCCAATGGGGTTGAAAAAATATCTGTATTACCTACAAGAAGCACTGCCGGTTCGTTTAAAGGGATTCCATTTCATGAACATAACGCCGGTTATGGACGTGATACTCAACATGATGAAACCATTCATGAAGAAAGAATTATTAGACATGGTAATTTTTATACTCTACTAATTAAATTCATACATTTGCATTTTTGTTCCTATGGAACTTGTTAACTAGTTTTTTATTATACTTACATAATTAAACAATTTTTCTTTTACGTTGTTTAAATTATGTTTTAGCTTCATACGCATACAACACTGGATACATTGTCAAAGTTCCTACCTGTAGATATACTACCAAATGAAGCCGGCGGAAAGGCCGGACCTGTGATGGAGTTACATGCAAAATCAGTGAAACTGTTAGAGGAAAACCGCGATTGGTTTTTGGAAGAAGAACGTACGAAACGCGTGAACGAGTCTCTGCGACCGGGGAAAGGTAAATCGGCGACCGATCTTTTTGGCGTTGAAGGAACCTTCAAGAAACTCGAAATTGATTGAATGCAATTATTATTAATGATCAATATTATCAAAGTTGATCGAATTAAGCTATTGTAAAACTGTTGAGCATCATTTCTCAATAAATCTGTATTCAAGCACCTCTTCTTATTACAACATATTATATATTATCTCACTTGACATGGAGATATGCTAATTCTGACTTATAAAAACGACGTTTCCCGTTTAAATCGTGTTACCACGAAAGAATGCCGATTACATTCGAAGAAGCGTCATGCCAATGCGCGTTAAAACAGGCTTAACGCGTGTTGCCTCCACCTTTTCGTCAGTTTCTTATATTACTTTCACTAGCAGACTGTCCTCTCAGTTTATGTCGATTCATGTGAACGAAAGTGTCGACGTATAATCGAGAAAATGAATATTCTTCTGGTAAGTGTTTATATCAATTTTATCACCCTATAATCTATATAATCTTTACAAACGTTTCAATATTAATTTATTACGTTAATTTCACTTGGAACATTAATTTCCTTTAAACATGCAATTAACTTAATAAAATTGGCACGTAATACTTATGAAGCAATTTCTTTCTGCAATTTGTCAGATATTTACACATGCGGAACAAAAAAAAAGTAATACGTGTACAGAAAATTCGTGTTATATAAAGATTCCTTTACCTTCATGCGAAAACTCTGTTTCCCGTAGAAGTGTGATTGCACGACATGGTTGAATGATTCCGTAATCATCTCGGAATGTAGCTCGTTCATCGGACTCATCATCTGGTGTACCGATGTATATTTATTATCGCTGCATAGAAATCATGTCAATGCACTCATTGTTAACTTCCAAATGTTAGCTCCAAAGATTTTCGGAATATATTATGTTTACCTGTCACGATAATTAACTAGATTATTTTCGAATCAGATCGCATTCGTTCTGATTAGTCCCTGCCTTGGGGATGTATCACATATTTTGTCAGAATATTCGACGACTACAACCACTCCACCACCGCCACCCAGGCCTTACAGTTTCCAGTATGAGGCAGGACGATTCCCTGGAAATGTCGACCGTGTTCATCAAGAAAGCGGAGATGGTGCTGGTCATGTTCAAGGTACTTATTGAGATCATAATTATCGTATTAAAATAGTGGAATATTTGTGTATGTCTTAAAACAAAGTTCTAAAAACAGATATAGAGAAAACAGATATAAAGAAAAAAATAAATTTTAACTTATAATTCGACATTTTACAAAACCTGTATTAATTATGCACACATTCAATTAATTAAAGAGATTTGTTTTCCAATAATAATTGAAATGTATTTTTTAGGTTCTTACTCTTTCATTGATCCAAAGCACAAAGTGCGAACAGTGCACTACGCAGCTGATGAAACTGGATTTCACGCGTCTTTAATAAACTACGATGATGCGACTGCTCAACCCATTGATTCCGAGGCAGTGAGGCTTGCCAAAGAAAAACATTTCCGACTTTATCAAAAAATCGCCGAAGCGAATTCCCACGGCGTGCCAGTAAATCATCCACGGGTAATAAACGTTTAAATGTAATAATCGTATTCGTATCATTTCATGATGATAATATCTTTTAAAATTCTTCTGCTATCGATTAACGATTGTAATAAATACATATGTATTCGAATATTTCAAATACTTGGAAATGCTAAATATGTAATCAGTTCAATAATATTCAATGACGGAGGACAGAGATATTTTATTAATCGTGGTCATGTATAGGCAAACGATACTCATTTTCATTGCTAACGTAGATGATTAAAAAAACAGTAGCTTTCACCTGACGATCGTGTATGTCGCTTTATAGGATTCCGTGAGCGTGGGGAGAGCGAAGGACAGGCATATTCAACTCTACCAGAAAATCGCCGATGAACACGCCGCGATTGCGGCTCAAAGAGAGGCAGAACGATTGGCTTACGAGGCCACTTCTGTAGTAAATGACGTAAACCCAGACCACGTGTACTAACCATGTGTGCGTATTTTACAAACGTTTTAAAGACGTCCGCGTAAAAATTCATTTTCTTACATTTCTTTTTTAAACTTACGTTAAATGTTAATTCCAGTGTCTTTTATATGTGCTCCGAAACTTCAAAGTTGAACCTCTTAATAGATTTGT